GAGCCGGGGTCTGTCGAAGGTTTCTTCCGTTAAAGGGAGTTTTTCCTCCCCCTGTCGCCAAGTGCTTGCTCAAGGGGGATTTGTTGGGTTTTCCCTATGTAATAATATTGATAACAGTAAGGTCTAGACCTTACTTTGTAAAGTGTCCTGAGATGACTTTTGTTGTGATTTGACGCTATACAAATAAAATTTGATTTGATTTGATTTGATTTGAACACTGTTTTTGGATTGCAGTTGTTGCAATCAATCGAAATTTTTGGACAGTTTCTTATTTTCAGTCCCACCAGATCATCCACAGGCTTGTTAAAATGACCTTTTTATTTGTATTATTAAAAACAAGTCAGTGATGTTCAGCCAAATGGCGAGTGTGTGGGGAAACATAAAACTGTCGGCTCCTATTATTTATTTTGGAATTGGTCCTGCTTCCAGAAGACACCTCTTTTCTAGCTTGTATTTACAGGTACTACATACATCCAGAATAGAGCACTGCAATAGATCCCACCTTTGTGAAGCCAATCACATTCAGTTTTTGTTGACAGTGTCAAAGATGTGCTGATCCAACTCATACTGTATTGGAGGCTGTAGCTTGTGAATTCTCATGTAAGATATCCAAAATCTTTTGTGCACACCCGTTTTTGTCAAAGGATTTATATCAGTGTATTTGCAGTACTAGTATAAAAACTAGGGAACTTATTTTTATTATGCAAACATGTAGTTCTCATAGGATTCCAAGTTTTTATTTCCTGTCATATTTGAGATGATTTTCATTCTGAAAATATTCAGCGACAAGGCACAGTTTCTTCTCAATTAATCTTTTTCTTTTCCACTGTCAGCAGAGCTCTCCACTTATTGGTAGACTATAATTTGTATCACCCTTGATGGGAAGTTTGAACATTTTGGTGTCGAGGTGTTCTTTCTGAAGTTCTTTTCAGTGTGCCAAGAAACAGAATAATGCCATATATTTGTGACAGGCAGCTTTTAATCAAGCTAAACCTGCTTTTCTCTTTCTGTGCCCACAGGCTTATGGTCTCTTCTCCTGAGCTCTGACAGGATTGAGGATCTTTCGTATTTGAGATCAACTGTCTCCATGTCAGCACTGTCTGGCTAATCCCATCCGATCATTAATTAATCATCAGTGTCCTGGCAGCTGACTGACTTTTCAACACTAATAAACTGCCTTAAGTCTTGCTAAGCCTGGAAACAGGAGAACATAAAGAAAACAAAGAGATTACATTTATTGTACCTGGTGGAAAAAAAAGCTGAACAGAGCTGAATTAAAAGACTTTTAGTATCAGCTATCTCTGTGCCAAGATGGATGAAACACATAACAACAGGACTTCCTTGGTCAGAGGTGCCAAGGACATTGCTAAAGAAGCCAAAAGGCAAGCTGCCAAAAATTTCAGCAAAGCTGTTGATCGTGCCTCAGATGAATATTTAGCTCATCGCAGCTACAATCGTTTTCAGAACGAGGATGAAGAAGAGGACAACTACAACAATTACACTCAGCAAGACGGTCACTATGCTGACAACGGAGCCAATGACGACGATGGGGCCTCGAGTGATGCCACGGAGGGCCATGACGATGAGGATGAGATCTACGAGGGGGAGTACCAAGGTGTACCTGCCTACAACGAGGGGAAGCCACAGGACGGTCAGGTGGCTCTGGGCCAGCCAGTTTCTGACAGCCTGAAGAGCCGCAAGGAGCTGGAAAATGAGAGGCAGGCAGATGAGGAGGAGCTGGCCCAGCAATACGAGCTGATCATGCAGGAGTGTGGCCACGGGAGATTCCAGTGGCAGCTGTACTTTGTACTCGGGCTGGCGCTCATGTCAGATGGCGTGGAGGTGTTTGTAGTGGGCTTTGTCCTGCCCAGTGCGGAGACAGACATGTGCGTCCCCAACTCTGGTGCCGGATGGCTCGGTAAGGATCTGCATTAGAGTAGAAAATCCCTCATTCCAAATAAATGAATTATACTAAGATGAGAAAATAAGCACATATTTGCATTGAATTTTTCAGATTTCACCAAAAGCTTCCAGTTTCACTACAACAGCTGCATCAAGTATCCACACTTCCAGAGTAGCCTGTATTCTTACAGTACATTACAACAAGTCCTCCACCCTAATCAACCAAACATGTCATTTGTCCCTTGGTTAGCTTTAGACACAACAGTTCTGAGAGCTAGTTTACATACAGAATAAACAGAATAGTGCAATGGCCACACTGTTAAGATTCTGAATATCTTATGGAGAGGTGACAGTGAGAAGGGCCGACTTTGGACAGATACAGTCTGACATCTGAAATTCCACTACTGGCAGAAGACAAGTTAAATTTTGTTTACACAGAAAGAAATTCTGACTGATGCAGAAGTAGAAGTAAAGTATATGACACATACAGACTGGTAGAAATATATAGGTGCTGATAGAATTAGCTGTTGACGTGCAGGGCTGTGCACGGAGAGCAGTGGTGGATGACTCTGTAGTGTCATTGCTTTGGGAGCTGCCAGTGGGTTGTCATGGCACCAGGTATTTGGATACATGAGTGGGAGATGTGTTAAGCTAGATGGATCTCTCCCACATGAGGGAAAAGTTGTGTGTTCATGTGCCACTGGTGTTTTTAACACTGTGGGCTTGTCGTCATTATTTCTCCCACTAATATCAATAATATTTGCATAGCACTGGTCATTTTTTTCAATGTACTGTGGTGATGAAAGCATTAGTCACTTATCATTCCCATACAAACATTAAAAGATAACAAAAAACTCTTTTGTCCTTATAATGAAGCTTTATAATTAAGCTACAGTATATGGTTGTATAACCATAAAGAGAATACTGATCTTGCTTGTTTTGGGGAAGCAGGATGGTTTATTATTTGCTTAGATTTCACCCATTTTCTGACTCATCTCTCAGTGGGGAGGGAAAGAATAGAAAGAATGAGTCATTTGCCCAACTCACGCTCACCCTGCATAAATAAATGCTGTGTGTGCTTGTGGTTGTACTTAGAAAAGTAAACCTTACACAATAATTGATTGGTGTTTTACCACAGTTTCTATGTGAAGGTGAATTACTCCTTAAAAGAGCCTCTGCGGTGCACATCTGGTTGGAAGGAGGGACTGAAAGTAAACAAGAAAAATAACACAAAGCACAATATTAAGCTCAAAGTGCACTTCATGATCTATTGTTGCGAACATTAAGGAGCTTATTATCATCATAATGAGTGCATAATTCATTCACATTAAATTGTTCCTCATTGCAAATGCTGGGGTTTAATATATGTGAATGTAGCTGAAAGAAATGTTAAAACGACATCATAACTCTGTAGCAGCACAGTATCTAAAATGCTAGATATGGTTTATTTTGGCTGGAATTGGAAAGAGGTTCTACACACGTGCAGCTGAATTAGGAATTTTGCCAGGAACACAGCAATTTGGACCTTTTAAAAGTGTAATTGACGTCCTCGACCGAGAAACAGATTGTGAGCACGCTAGCACGTTGAGGTTAGCATTTATCCCAAAGCATGGCTGTGACTGAGTCCAGTAGCCTCACAGAGCTGGGAACACGGTTGTAGAATCATAGTCTTCAAAGGTGCTTGAATGTGACAAGCCAGACCAAGTCCTGGCTGGATTTAAGGTATGATTGAAATAAACAAAGTCATACAAAGTGTCATTCAACCACAGCTAGAAGGCTGCAACATGACAGCTCCAATTACCTCCAAATAGCTTTCATTAATTAGTAATGTAATGTAATGTAATGTAATGTAATGTAATCTATAAACTAATCTAATCTAATCTATGGCAGTGTCTTTCCCCCATATGGCTTTTCCTTTCATATCATAAAAGGGGAGATGCTGTACAGATACAGTATGGGGTGTTCCACTCTGTTCTCCCTGCTCTTGCCTGTGCTCTATGCTACCCTCCTGCTGTAATCCCTCTCTTACACTCTCTCACAGCCTCTGTGCATCTTGTAACCATGCAGGCGATCTGAAGATATGGGCTGGAGTTAATCTCTGCAGCATTGTGCTTCACTGCAGTTTAGCCATGGTAGACTGACTCACGTACCTCCCCAGAGAAAGGGAAAAAGAAGGAGGGTGCTGCTTTTACAGTATACACTTCCTCACACTGCCCTCCCCTCCTCTCTCTTCCACCACATATGGCTTTAATGTGCCTGCAGGTGTTTTTCTGCACCATAGTTACAGTAGTATTTTGAGGATGTTCAGTAAAATGTGTTTTCTCACTTGAAGTCAGGTTGCAGGTGGAGCACAGAGTGAAGACCTCACCATCAGGATCAGTTTGGAGAAGCTTTGTGTAACTGATGCCAGTCTTTTTTTGCTTTTATGGTATGGTTTCGTTATGTGCATCATCACAACCACCATTGACAGCCAAAGTAAATCAGCACTGATGCAGCTGAAGGTTAGGGACAACAACATTTACTACCACACTTCACAACAAAGCACAGCCACAGGATCTCTTCACCTGTTCACTGTCTAGGCAGCGAGGTCACCATTCAATGTGGCATGCTAAATTAAAGGGTCTATAGTTCTTTACTTGACAAATTAAAATTTTGACCTTATTGTGGCTTTAAAGGAAAAGTCATGCCATCAAAAACATCATTAAGGAGCCATGGATGTCTGTAAATGGATAAGTGAAAAATCCTCTAACCTTCTAGGAAAAGTTAGTTCATCCAAAAAGTTGTCAGACTGACTGATATTAACATTTCTAGATAAGCGTTAATGTTACTTTTAATATTACACTTCTAATGTGGCTAAAACAAAGCAAAACATTAGATTTTTAGAAGTGTCTGTACACTGTTTGTTTGTATGTGTTGTCTCTCTGCACAAATATACAACAAAATAAAAAGTGCTGATTTAAATTTAATTTCCGTTGTGGGGAAACCATCTTGGAATAATGCATGAACAAGCTGAATAGCTGGAGGCTTTCCTGTTCTTTTCATTCTGCATGCGAAGCAGCTTTAAGGGAGATGCTGTAGCATTAATGCAGTATAAGCCTGAGTGCTACAACCTAGACATGTTTCGTTTCACTAGACAGCGAGTAAAGATGTTGAGCAATGGGATAAGAGATAAAATCAACCCCCACTCGGCTGACATGTCAGCTCCTATTGTGCTGATTAAATTTCATTTTAAAAATTTATGACAACAAAGGCTGCAAAAAATATTTAGTCACTTGTTGCCAGAGGTGGGAATAAGTCACACATGTTCAAGTCACAAACAAGTCTCGTGAGAATCAAGCGAGTCGAGTCCCTACTGTACAGTAAATCAAGTCGAGTCACAAGTCAAGTCATACAAAATTCTGATATTCTTATAATGTTATGAGAATAGTACGTATTTAAGTGAAACATTCACAAATCTCATTTGATTATTAATTGTACATTTGTAGGGTATAAACTAGCCCCTACATATTAAATGAAGAAGACATGCCTTTCACGGCTATCAGAAACTCTTCTCGATAAAATACATAATCGATTCAGTGTTGTGGTGCTCGTCTGCCGCATATCGCTGTTCTCTTCCTACTACCGTCCTACTACAACACAATCCGTGATTCTAAATGTGACTGTTTCTGGACTAGACCCCTCCATGACAGCTGCGTCCTGTGACCTGCATCGCCCCCTGCTGGTCTGCTACGTTGTTGTAGGTTGCCAGAGTTGTTTGTATTGCACTAGAATTCACCCAGTTGTGTTTCAGCCCAATATTTAGAAAACTGTAAATATTTAATAAAAAGTGAAGTAATTTCAAGGCGTCTGTCTCAAGTCTAAGTCAAGTCTCAAGTCATGAATACCAAGTCAAAGTCGAGTCTTTTACCAGTGCTCAAACAAATCTCTAGTCTTCAATTTGTAACTGAAATTCAACTTGGGTCAAGTCATGTGACTCAAATCCCTCATGTCTGCTTGTTGCAGTAGCCTAGTCTCCCAATGGATCCATTCTCTTCACCTAATTCTTCAAAAATATGTAATTATAAATTCCTCAGAAAATGTATGATCCCAAGAACTGATCCTGGTCTGCTGACGGGGGTGAAAGAAGAATTTTTTTCTGATTGTGTGTCAGTTGACTGTTATGGTATGAAATAGTTTTTTTCATTTTCAGTTATTTGTGCTGAGGACTTGAACAATAGATGATCTTAAATGAGCCAGAAATGCAGAGTATTTTCAGTAAACTCCACCACTGTGAAAACAAATCAGCGGGTGTTGATGTAATTAATACCTGAGGAGCGTGTTTAGTTCCTGGGGGTCTGCCCTTCCCTCCTTCTCTCCCCTTCATCTGCTCTCACTCCCTGCTGTAACTCACCTGTCAATCACACACTGTCCCCTGGGAACCCTCTCATCTGATGAAATCCTGAAGCTCTCGCTTAATGTCCTGAATGTTCCCACTGAGAAAATTAGAGCTCCTGGTTGCTGCCTGTCTGTCTGCTCTCTCCTCTCATCCATGCCATAACACTGCATGGCACCGAGGAGAGAAGAACCATGTCAGAAGAGAGTTACGCTGACACATAAAGCTAATTACTGTAGGTAAAAAGCAGCATGCATGGAGACTGATGGAGACAACTTAAGAATTAGCTGGCATAATCCCTGTGGATGCAGAGGAGGGCTGCACAGTGTACCATTAAAAAGAGCAGAGACACAGTCTGCAGGGAGCGCTTGCTTAAGAAGGAGATTAGCACCACAGTTCGACTTTTCTGAGACTGTTAACAACTGTAGCTGTTGCCCAGGTTTTGAAATATCTGTCTCTAGAATTTCTGAAGCAACTGCAACACAGTGGTGGTGAAAGGGATTTTATTTAACATTTAAAGTAAACATCATTAGAAACGGTGACCCAGTCACTCTGGGTGATCCCCAGACATTTATTTGTCTACTTTTGAATATTCTATGGCAGAGATAGACATCTGAAGACCTGACCAGATAAATCAAAATCTTTCTGTAGGGCCAGGTAGGAAAATGTGTTTTTATTAAGGATGTTCTGTTGGTCGATTAGTCCAGGCACAAATAACTCAAGAACTGTTGGATGGATTAACTTTAAATTACATACAGACATTCATAGTCCACAGAGGATGCATCTTAGTGACTCAGCTGGCTTGTCATGTGGTCAGAGTGAACTGTGATCACTTTGACAGTCCTTTAAGTTTCCGTCTGTCATGATCAGATCAAAGCTTTTGTTTGTCCAGTACTTTGGTTTAGGACTGGATACCTGCAGCTTTAATGACGTTCTCATCAGCTTTGTGTTTAGTGATAATTAGCACTTGTTAACATGCTCACATGCTAAATTAAGATTACTAATTATGAGCATTTAGCTCAAAGCATGTCTGTGCCTAAGTACAGTCTCACAGAGCAACTAGCATTTGGGAAAAACTCATGAATGAGGTGTCCTATCAGGCATGTCTGTGCCCAGGGGCCCTGTGTCTCATAATTTGTCCATGGAAAGACCAACCCAGTCAATGTGTCTAGATCATAGACTATATACACAATCTAAGGCTTGGATGCATTTTAGCCTTGGTTTTCAGTCAACAACATTCATTTGTCTGTTCTGGCCGTGTAGTGACTCTCTTTCCACTTGTGCTTTGTGTGTTGCTGTCTGACACACAAAAACAGTGATAGTGCATTAGACTCTGAGCGCTGCTGAAATGTGGGTGACCATGCAGCAGGACTGTGACTGAACGCATCTTGTGCAGACACTGATGGAAAGCTGTCGCTGCTGCTCACTACACAGGCTGAAGGCTTGTGTGAGGTGTGTCCCTCAGTGTAATTCAAAGATGCAACTGTCTGATACTAATGTTAAAAGACTTGTTTCAGTTGACAGCAGGTTTAAAACGTGTTTCAGTTTTCAAACATGTCAACACAGCTACTGTCCCCATGCACTACTGATTTTAAGTGACCTTTGCAAATTTATTTAAAAACCCTGCAATCCTAAGGTAAGAAGAGATTCGAACATCTGACCTGAGGTTGACCCCTGCAGGTCCATGTTGCATCTCAGATGCCCCATCACCACTATCACCCTCCCCCTTTATTACAGCTACTAACCCAGTGTGAGGGGAGCCATAAAACAAATGAGCTGGTGTTCTCAGATAGCATCTTCTTCAGTACATGCATTCAGATTCATTGTTTGTGTGTAGGTACACCGCTGAGAAGGAGCCACCAGTTTGTACACAATGCAGTGGTTTTGACATTCGGGCTGATATTTGTACGCTAGCAGTAGTGTAGCTTGCTCTTGCTCTAGATCCAGTGGCTGTCACCTGTAATGAATCACTAGCCCTCAGCATCATGTCTGCACAGCTTGATAAGACCCTCTACATTCAGCGTATCTGTCCTATCACTTCAAACACAGTGAGGAAGAAAAATGAGAAGGCTTCCCTTCCTCTGCAGGCGCTCTTTCTGGTGCTGCCTCATCAAACAATTGCATCTCACTCTCCACACACATTAGCATTTTTATTAGCATGTAGAGAGTAAAGTGGATTATTTACTGGCCTGACGACCTCCACCCTTCTCCACCACTACCCCCTTCTTTTATGCTGCATGTTGCTGGGGACAGGAAGAGAAATGACCCTGACTTCCTGCAGACAAGCTGCAGCAAGAGGCGAATGCCTGGACTTTAAAAGCAGAGCTGTGAGGTGAACTGCTGCTCTGTTTCCCCCACAGTCACGTTCGGTCATTTATGTCAGAGAGAATTAAACTGGAGTCAAAACTAGATGATCCCACCAGAGATATTTGGTTTGGTAAATTAAGTACAAACACATCTCTAAGGCAAAATGAAGCTCAAAATGCAATTAAACAGCAGCTGCTCTAACTCAGTTCTTTTACACCTTTGTTTTATCACTGGACCAAAACCACATGTTGTCAGATGCTAATCATTCATACTGTGTACTGGACCTGAAACTAGACATATCAACTTTCATAATTAATGTAAGGAAACAGAAAACTACCTTCAGTCCAGTCAAAACACACTTGATATGATTCACAGTGTTGTGGCCTTGCAGTCTTGAGCGTCGTAGGGCTCCAAGCCAAACTCAACTACTCAATCCCAGCTCTGTTATTTATACAGACTTACATTTTATGTGACCTCTCAATTTTGTTTCAGTAGCTGAGAAATAACAAAACCAGTTTCAGTTTGAGCACCACTTTGTTCAGAAGCTGTGTGCATTTGCTGTACAGCTCTATTGTACTGTATGTGTATGTCTCCAATAATAGACCGCTGATATCTGCAGCGTCACCAGGTAATAAAACAACAAAGATCACATTTTATATCCTTAAGTGATGTGTATGTAGCTTTCATACCCTGCACCGGCCCAGCCACTATGCTACACTAGCCTCACTGTGCAGAAATGTATAGGTTTGGAGGATACTGGCACTTTTAAACTGATTTCCACAGCAGCACTGAATCAAAGCCAAGCACTAATAACCAGATACCTACACTAAAAATGCCTCATTTAGCGAAGCTGTTCATGTGAGAGTCCACTGAGACTTATCATCTGATTCAGCTGTTCCAAAAGTCCTGAATGCTGTTGGAGACATTTTAGCAGCATTCAGCTCTTCAACTTTTTATTTTTTATTTTTATTTTTAATTTTTATCTTAGTCTCAGTTATCAACACAGCTGCTCAGCACCACACAGCAAACTGACAGAGTCGGCCACTAACTGATATATAGAACCAAAGACACAAACTTTGCTGAGTATAAAGGTCAATCTTGGACATTTCATTAAGCGAACGAATGACAGATGATGAAGATATTTATAGGTAATGCTGCATGCTGTATGTACAGGCAAATATTCTCTTTACACTGCATACCCGTGGTTTGTTGTGACCGCACTGTACCTGTTGTGTACATGCTGTACAGTATGTCTCCACATTAAGAAATGTTCGTTGCGCAATTTACGCACGTGATTTAAATCTTCTGCTATGACTTTATGATCTTAACGTAGCCTCGTTAAGCAAAATGCCTTTTGCACAGTAAACAGGGAAGCTGTAACAGACTCACAGTGAAATCATTGGGAACAAACAGCTAAGTTCAGCACCGTCAAGGCAGTCTCTTCAGTTTCAAGTTGATTAATACAGGACGTTTTTAGTTTTGTTGATTAAATGTAATAATATTTCAATTTAAGCAGTAGACCTGGTCTGAATGTCTATTAGTATACCTCGACCCAGTCATGATCCAAGTCTTTGGTTTGTCTGTGCCCCATGTTTTCCATGTTGGCTTAGACCCAGCCCCTTGTCTTTCCCCGATGGCTCCACCCAGCTCCGCCCTCACCTGATTGCTACCTGGGTATCAGCCTTTATCTTTAAGACAGCAGCCAGCTCTCAGTCCCTACCGGGTTGTCATTAAACAGGTGTCTCTTGTGATTCTCCATGTATCTGATTTAACCTGGCTCTCCCCTTGCCGCCCTGACCCTGCCTACTTCCTGTTTAAACAGCTGGATTCACCTGTGTTTGGATGTTTGTTCCCTCCTGATTCTGGTCAGTTGTCTGTTCCTAGTTTGCTGCCCATCTTACCAGTGTATGGACTGGTTTCTCCATGGATCTGGTTGTTTGTCTGCTCTAAGTCAAAATAGTTTGTATTGCTTTACCTTAGCTAGGCATAATACCTATCAGTACCTGAATTCCTGTCGCCTGCGTCAGAACCTGCCTTTGCATTTCCTGTACCTGTTTGTCTGCCATCTTCCGACCCTGCTGTTATCAGCTCAGCCATTACCTGCCGTGTTCTAATCTACCTTTGTCTGCCATTTTGTTCTGCCCTGGTTTATACTGCGCTCCTGGTCCTAACTATTAAAGCTCTCTTCTCTCATCACCATCATTGCTCACTTATGTTACTGCTTTGGGGTTTTAAACCAAAGCAGTAAAATGTGACAGAACCATGTTTTGCTTTTTTTTAACAGGTGTCTGTGCAGAAACCTGTGCACATAACCACACTTTGTATTACTGTGTAAAAAATGGATTTATAGGAATGTAAGTTATGTGGTCAGTCTATCAGCCCTGCTTAAATCTGATATGTGTGTGTTGGAGTAATGCTTGAACAAAGAACTCCATCCAAAGTGTAATGATGTGTTTTAAGAGCTCAGCCACTTCACTAACAAACATTTGGCTCCAAATTGTTGTGACCATTTACAGCTTTTTCTGCCTCCCTCTCTCCAGGTAGCATCGTGTATCTGGGGATGATGTTTGGAGCCTTTTTTTGGGGCGGCCTGTCAGACAAGGTTGGCCGTAGGCAGGTCCTGCTGATATCCATGTCTGTCAATGGCTTCTTCGCCTTCCTCTCTTCCTTTGTCCAAGGCTACAGTATGTTCCTCTTCTGCCGCATGGTGTCTGGCTTTGGGTGAGTTCACTCTTTGCTTTTTAGTCTTCTTCTCTTGAATATGTTCCTATATATGTTTCTCTTCAGTGTGTTGGAGGCTGAAGCCCTTCTCTGGCTCATTCTGTCCTCCCACCATTTCCCCTGCCGTCGCTGCCTCCCCCATAGTCAAAGCACATGACAAAAGGTTGTTCTAACTGCCTGGCACCAGCCCATCCTCATCCTCTGGTGGGGAGAGAAGGAACAAAGCGAAATGGAAACGCCTGCAGAAATGAACCGAGCACCCTAAATGAACATCTGTGTGCTTTAGTGCTGCTCTGCCCTGCTCGGCTGCCCACACCCTTGATAAATGACACACCCTCCCATCTCGGCGATCTGACGTCACTGCTCATACTGTACCTGACCGATAAAGGTCGCCTCTCATTCACAGGTCAGCCTATTGGGGAAAATATACTGTAAAGTATATGAAGCAGCTTAATTAACAGAAATGGTGTCTTATGCTGACGCAGGTCTGCGATGAACGTTAGGTGACAGTAATAAATGTAAATTAAAGTATGAGGGAGCTGTTGTGGGCCTGAGGATGTTTCTGTGATTGTTTCAGAAAACATCGGCTCTACTCTCAGAGCTGTCTTCAGAACCACAACATTTATTTATATTCATCTTTACAACCAACCAGCCCAGCCTGTTGCAGTACACTCGGTTTGATCAACTTCTTCTCACTTGGTTTGCACTCAGCTCGTTGTGTATCAGGTTTAAGAAAACGGCTTCTAGCTTGATGGCTTTGCTTTAAAATTTTAATTAGTCGCTTTAGCTTTTATTTCATGCTTTAAATCTCAAGCTGGTTGCAGTTAGAAATTTATTCTGAGGGTAAAGTAGATTTATTATTGCACATACAGTATACCTTTGGGGATATGGAACATTTTGGTGGAAGTGTGCCAGAACAAACGGATCAATACGTTTGGAGCTGCAGTAGTATTTGTACCAGTGTATTCGATTTTTAACAGAACACTGGGTTTTTTTGTTTGTTTTTTTTGCCTACAACCTCAGTCTGGGAGAAATACAATCTGGCACTGAGAATTGTTGCCAGATTAACTAGATTCTGCTTGTTTCATTAAAATTTTCCATACCTCATTAACTTTGCTACAATGAGCTGTCTCAACAATCCGGAGAGGAGAAAATAGAGATTCAGTGCCACTCAAATCACAGATTAACTTTCAGTGATATGGGCAATTTACAACCAGTGCTTATATGATGTTTGTTAGATACTGAAATAATCTGGAATCAAGGACAAGTTACCATAAACATGTTAAATATTCATTCCTAGAGTTTGTTGTTTTGTATAAAGCAAATCTGAAACTGAGTGCAGGCAGATATCTTAACAAGTCAAACTCCGAGGAAAAGCAGGCTGTTCATCTAAATGTACTGATGAGTACAGTAATGTTCAGAAGAAGTAAGGAGTGGCTGCCGAGTCTCTCTCCATGTTCCTCCTGCTCCAAACGTCTGAGCTCTCAGTGAGTTGATAGCGTCTGAGATAAAACATGTTTACTCGTAGATTTTTGTGTGTGTATGTGAACAGCTAAGCAACTAAACTGCACATATCTATGTGTGTATGTGAACAGCTAAGCAACTAAGCTGCACATATCTCAGAGAAAGAGCCTCCATACACAGGGAATGTGTCCTGCACACCACTGTATTACCATGTTGTCAGTTTAACTGTGTGAAGTTTAATGTTCAAACTAAAGTTCAGTTGTTACCCAGAGCAAATAAAAACAGGTTGTGGTGAATTCTCCGCCTGATGCGCTGTACAACGGGGAGAGCACCTCACAATGTTAAACATCAGACACTACAGTAGAAATGTGTTTATACTATATATTAAACTCTGTATTATTCAAAGCATCAGACCTTGCTGTGTTTTCTATAAGGTGTCTGTGCCTGGGTGTATAAATCTTTTTTGAGCAGATTAAAGGCAAAATGAACTACACCTCGGAGACGGGTCATTCAGCCCCCATTGTTTTTGGACTAAGCTGATACTGAAGTAGTTCAGGTTTGGTGCAGCACAAATCAGACTGTTACCTTGTAATGTTTCACCAGTTTGGAAAATACAGAATGTGCCAAGAGTTAGTTAAGAGAACTGACATTCGTACGTTAATTATGAAGGATCTGTATGGCTTAAACACACAACATACATAACATGAGTGAAGAGGTGCTGGTGGACAGGTTAATTTCATCAAATAAGCATATTTTCCAAAATGCTGAGCCGCTGAACCGTTCATATGCAAGCATGAACAAACTCCTAGTCCCCGTTAGCTACATAAAAACAAATGTATTATGGCAGTAATACTATACTGTAAATACCCGTTGACCGAGGCGTTTTAAGATGGAGAGTGGTCACATTTAGCTCTGGTCTCTTTTTGCTGAATTCACTCCACAACCATGTTTTTCTTTTAAACTGGAGCTGTGAGACAAACCGGGGGGGAGTCATTGCCGACACAGATGTATTGACTCTGCTAAGTCCTCACTGATGACCCAGTTCAGTGCAGCTACACATCACATAAACAAAATGACATGATGTGTAAATGTATTGATTGTATGTAATGTGAGATCTTCCCACTATAATGAAAACATTATTCAAACTGCTCTGATTCTGTGCAACAGTTTAACAAGGACATCTGAGGAAGACGAAAGGCGAAGATGCATCAGATTAAATTATACACTTTTAATATCCTGTGTGCTGCAGCATGGTGGCTCACCAGTTTTTGAGTTGCCGTGCACGGAAAATAGGCTGAAACAAATTGGTTTCATTTAGAGACCTTTCCTGTGTCATGATTGAATTACTTCTGTTAATATTATTTTATTCCCAAAAGAGAACTGAAATAGTCAGTCTGACATCTGTACAATCTTTTGTCACACAGAATAAGAGAAATAATTTTTGAACAAGACATTAAATGCTTTTTCACAGATGGTTTTCTGAAGCCATAAATTTGTTCTGTATGTTTTTGGCAACACATGGAAATGTGAGACAAACGACGACTGGCTGCTGAAGCATAGTTGGCTAATTACAACGAACTGTATTTGCAGGATCGGTGGAGCAGTGCCGATCGTATTCTCGTACTTTGCTGAGGTCTTGGCTCGGGAGAAGAGAGGAGAGCATCTGAGCTGGCTATGCATGTTCTGGATGATCGGAGGAATTTACGCCTCAGCCATGGCTTGGGCCATCATCCCACACTACGGTGAGTGACACCACTAACCTGCATCTGCTTTCGGCTCCACTTTTCCAGCTACAGTCTGGACACTGCCATGAACCAGCTGCATCACTAGCTTAAAAACATTAATGTCAAAAGAAATGATAATAATGATGATGCTCCCTGTTGTAGTGAATCACAAAAATCACAACATAATTCATAATATGCAAGGAGCCCTGCAAGTAATTCCACAATTAGGGGGGTTATTTTGAAATCATGAGCCTCCAGGATATGAAGGCAAACTGAAAACAGGTGACAGTGTCAGAAAAAGCAACAAAGCCTCTGTCAACCTACATAGTGAATGTGCACATAAAGGCCCTGTACAGTGAAATGGTGCACACTCGGATGCACAGGGGCGTGGCAGGCAGGCTGGCACAGCAAACCAAGAAGAAATGTCCAGCTGGAATAAAATAGTTTTTAATTTTCAGTATTTTTTAGCACCACCAAACCGCAGAGCTGGATGATAAAAGAAGGGAGTGTGTGTCAGAGGATAAGAACAAAATGAGTGAAATGAAATCAATCTGCTGTGGACGGGTGCGGAGGAAAGAGAAGCAGTGAAAGAGATTACGAGGACAAGGGGGACGGAGCGGTGGAGGGAGCACTTGATTTATATGGCTTGTGTCTGGGATAATCGAAAGGTGAAGGGATACAGCAGAAAGCTAAAGGGAGGTGAAGAGAGAAAGAAAAGAAAAAGGGACAGACTGAAATGGTATTAAAGGAACAGATGAGAGGAAGGGGTGTGTGAAGAGGTGGGGTTTCTTAGTCTGCCATTTTCAGAGTCGTGGTGAACAGACATAATGAACTTTGACATCAGGCGTCTCCGTCTCTGAGTGTGGGACTCCGTAATGCTAAGGCACCGGGTTGATTAATTTCCTTGACCAGGTGGTGTTATTGTCAGAAATGAAGTCACAAGACCAACACAGACTTCACTACAGCAGGTAAAGACATCTAGCTGGAGACGTTCTTCAGTCTGGCCTCAAATTAAGACCCTGAAATAGTGGCAAGTGCAGTTCTGTTGTTATGAAAGAAGAGCAACAAAACTTGTCAGTCAATAACTGTCCTTTTCCCATCATGCCATGAGCAGCTGCACTCTGGTTTCATGCTGTAAATATAGCACCACGGGTCCCCACAACAGCTGTAGATGGTACGGTTCACAACCGTGCTGAGCTGAGGAGGATGGACAGGTGCAGCCTGTCACCTTCAACTCTTCTTCCAGCAGCTGTTTCTTCTTGTCTCATTGCTCCCTGCGATATTTAAATCTGAACTGCTAAATGAAAAACTGTTTCTTTGGAAAATCTTTAGTATGATTTTAACTCACTGTTTAAATTGTACAGTAATTAAAACATACACAAAACGTATGTATGTGCATCACGTCTATACATATGTCATTTTATGTATTAATGTGTGCTGTGATAAACCTCTCACTGACCCCCAGCTGCTGTTGGTTATTTCCTGTTGTCTTGTGACAAAGTCCTTAAAGAGTCCCTTTACAACAGATATATTTTTCCACTTACCTCTAGTGGTCTCTAGCTGTGCAGATAGATTTGGCTTTCTTAAGGATGAGATATCCATCTCTGAAATTTTTGGTCCCAGTTTAATGGAGGTTAATGGCAAAGCTACATCATTTTGTCCCTGTTGCTCTGGATAATCTGGATTTCTACCTTTTAGCTCCATCACACAGTATTTATTTCAGTTGATATTTTCCTTTTGTGGGTTATTTTCCTTCAGTGTGACTGGACTTTGGATAAACACCAAAATAAAAAATATCTGATAAGGAGAAAGGATGTGTGTCTGCAGAGGCTCAAAATTAAGCTCGATTCATTAGACACCAGTGGTTTTAGCACCTTTTTTCCTCCAACATGCAGTGATGTGCGGTGAATAGGTTCCGCCGCAGTGCTCTTTGCATCGACTGCTAGACGACGGCTGGATAGGGTGGGGGTGAGCCACTGTTGGTCATGTCTTAGCTCGTGCTAATTACAACAACACAAAGCAGGGCTAGTGCCTGTAGCACCAATCCTACCCTCCCAAGGAGGGGCAGAGGTTTCACTGAAATGTGAAGCTGTGACCAAGTAAAAAAAATGTTGAAAGACCTTTGCAGCTATAATAAAACAGTACTAAAGCAGCTGCTTGTATATTGGTCTACTACTTTAATAGCTGCTAATATACTCTGCATATACACTCTATATAGTTATCAAATATGCGCCTTAGTGGCTCCATAGAGAGCTTTGCCCTTTGGCCGCTCTTCTGCTAACAGAGTGCAACACTACATTAACAATTGCTCTGCTATATAATGTAGCAATTTTGCAAACACAAGGAAAAATTAAACAACACATAAGATACAATGAGACAACTTGTTCCTGTCATTTCTCACCAAACTGTTTAAAATAGCGTAATAATTTGTGAAGCCTAAATGAGTTGACTGTCCCTACACAGTAAGGGTTAGTAGAGATCAGCAGACTGTGAAATCAAGATGTTTAAATGTTAAAAACATCCAACATGAAAAACTGTCTTTTTCTGAGTTCATACATACTAGTGTGTGTTCACCGCAGCAGGTCTGTGGAGGCCTCTCTTTGACAGGTCGACATCAGCCAGCAAGTCCCCTCTGTTCTTATAAACATACTTACAAAGTAGGTTTTGCACTCATAAGCAAGGTGAGGAAGGAGTGTGTCTGAATGATTTTATTATGTTAAATGAGTGTGAATGAGTAGAAGAACTGGTAAATTCCAAGAAAGTCGTGCATCCTGCTTTGACCTGTCTTGCGAGTGCATGTCGCAGTACAAGATGTAAGCCAGGTTTGTCCAGATGTCTTTCTGTGGGTGGGTGTGTGTTCGTGCATGTGCCTGTGCTGTCACCACTTTGAATGATGACCAAGGACACTGTCTGTTGTGTGTTTGTATATGCGCACTTGTGTGCGTTAGTGTGTGCTGTATGTGCGCCTTAGCTGTGCTCACTTACTGCAGAGTAGGGACATAAATCCTGCCATCCCCTCCGGTCCATTATAGATATAATCCCCCTAATGAGGTTGTACTGGTACAGGCTGGTGCAGCCTCACAGCGCTGAAATGAAATTCACATGGGGTTGCCTCCAAGCTTGTTATTGTTGACTTGTTAATACTGAATTTGATTTCGCAATTGAAATTTAAGATAAGGAAAAGTGTAAACATGATTTGTATGTCTCTTTGAAATTTCTATTATCATTTCTGCAGTGTTGTGAACCCGAAGGAGGCAACGTCACGTGATATTTCCTAATTTCTCAAGTTGAGAAGAAATAAGTGAAGACTGTATAAATGAAAGTAATAAATAAATTTCCTCCATCTGCTCCTGGACAGGCCATACCTCATGACTTGATGTAGAAACACAGACATTTCAGGACCAAACCGCCGAATGGGCGCTGCACTTGTCTCAGTGTCTTGCTCCATGAAAGGTTCGAGTGCTGGTGTTATCCCATTCAAACCACTGCTCCCTGTAGAAACCTCACAGAACACCATAGCAACTTTTGCCTGACAACATGCAGCCATCTGCCATGTGTGTCTAGTCTAGCAGGAGCTGGTGACACCCAGACCTGAACTCACCAACGGCCTATAGGAGCCATGTAGCATTCACCTACAGTAGCAGCATTTTAACAACTAAACGAGTCGTCCCAAATATTTATGAACACCTCAGTAAAACCACCATCCAGCCATGTTTTGCTCAGGCAGCAAGAAAACATGTTCTGAAAACATAGTCTTTGTAATTTTGGTTGAAACTGATAAAAGACTGAGGTGAAAAAAATAATGGAGGCAAAGAGTAAGTGGGGAAACCGTAGACTCTAGGTGAATTAATTTCTCTGGGTGAGAGGCAAACACAAACATCCACGTTTGCCTATGAATGTAAACGACTGAAATGTAAAACCTACAGCCCTGAGGGAAAGAACAAAACAAATAAAAACAGACTGAAACTACAGAAGCTACAAATGAGTTTTTCTTTGTTTCAAGTCTTACATCTTCCCTCGTTGTTGGCATTGAACTCCACATTGTTTCCGACTGTGTGTGTGTGTCCTTGTGTGTGACTGCTTTTCTTTGTGCAGGCTGGAGTTTCAGCATGGGCTCGGCCTACCAGTTCCACAGCTGGAGAGTGTTTGTGGTGGTGTGTGCGCTGCCGTGTGTCTCTGCAGTGGTAGCTCTCACTTTTATGCCTGAGAGCCCCCGTTTCTACCTGGAGGTAAGAGACTTGCCACGACGTGGGCTGCACCATCTTAATGACAATGCTGATAATTCCTATGGATTTCAGAAAATATCAAAACATTTGTACAGTAACATTTTGATGCCACTGGAGTTATTCTTGTGCTGTAGTAGGAAAATAAATACAACAAAATGTTTAGATGTAGCAGGTTGCATCTTTGCATTAATGCAGGGGATTTTAAACTATTTTCAAACTCTGATGGTGGGTGGGGGAGAAATGAAGGGAAGCAAGGAGCAAGAAATGTAAGACGAGGAGGAAGGGACAGTGTTCCAAAAACAACGAGAGGTTCATCGTTTTCTCGCTGATTTGACCTTTTTAAGAAGTACAGGGGCTGCTTAGATACTTCTGCAATTTGCATTAAAATTTCTACTTATCCTTGGACATGTAGATATAGATGCACGTGTCAATTATGTCTGATTCCCTTCACTAATAAATTCCTGTAAATCTGCTTAATTTTCTTCCTTTTAGCTCCAGACCTTGCCTAAGAATCATCAGGGTTTTACAATTCCTTCAGTATCAAAATGTTTCACTGATTGTAGTCTGCAAATCCATGAATTGACTGCAATCAGGAACTGTTATGAGCTAATTCTGATGCAAATTTGCCAAACATCCTTAAAATAAAACAGGACTTAAATTGTGACTCACACTTTTCTAAGTGACTCTATTGCAGCATTGTACTTACTGTTTACAACCAACAAACTGTGGGCTCTGTAGTGTCGACAAGCGCTCGTGTGGTGGTGGTGGTGGTGGTGTGGCACAGTTGTCAGTTTTGTTAGAGCAGGGGCTGTACAGTGTCAGAACATGAAAACTCTGCATTAATGTAATTTACAACTCATGTGCACAAATGAATCGTGCAAGCGCTGTAAATACTTATTAGTCGAATTTGCCGGGAAACATAGAAGCGTGACCCGAGTAATGAGATCGTTGGAGAATATATTTAGAGAAGTTAAAATCAAGGAGGCTCCCTGTGAAACAGTGTGGTTAACTCGGCCCCACCCCTCTAGGTTGGTGCAGACTGTACATAATACGTTGAACTCGACTGTCCCCTAGGTGGGTAAACACGACGAGGCCTGGATGGTGCTGAAACACATCCATGACACCAACATGCGCGCCCGTGGAGAACCTGAGAGAGTGTTCACTGTGAGTACACACTGGCTGCTACTGTACACCTGCCTCCTTCCTGCTGCTTCAACACCATCAACCCGGTGTCTCCCCCTGCAGGTGAACAGGATAAAAATCCCCAGACAGCTGGACGAGCTGGTGGAGATGCAACGTGACTCAGCCAACCCTGCACTCAAAATCCTCTTCAAAATCAAGACTGAGTTCAGAGGAGTATGATGCTCTTTTGTCTTTATCGTAGTTAATTTCATGCTGAATCTTTATGGTCGTTAAGATATAAACTGAGTAAAAGTCTTTTCCCTTTTATAATAGATCTGGTTGAATTTGATTAAATGCTTCAGCTACCCAGTGAAAGAAAACACAGTGAAACTGGCTGCCGTCTGGTTTACTCTGTCTTTTGGGTAAGAGGTTTTCTGCACACCACCTCATTTCTATGTTATTATTGTATGTTTCCATCATGTTAAATGTGGCTGAATTGCCTGGGTGAAGCCGAGTCGCCTCTACTTTTCAGCTTAATAGCAGAGGTTCGGTGAAGTACTTAGCACTGAGGCAGATGCTGTTTAATTTATAGCTTCCTGATGAATGTTGACAGGTAGATTAAAAAGCAGGGACCTCTTTGAGAGAAGGTGCCAGTAGGCTTTTTTCTGTTGGCTGATTTAATGAATTACAGTGTGTACGTGTCAGGCATTTTCAGCCTAAAGTCAAGTTTTTTAAAAGTTATAAAGACACAAAAGTAGGATTTTTGTTGTAAAAGAAAAAATCCATTAATTTATCTCAGTTTGTCTTAAATTTTTTGATCCTGCTATTATTCTTCGTTCTCATTTTATGACCTTGCCCAATCTTCTTTATTCACTGGTTGTTTTCCCGACACAGAAGCAGGTGTAGGATCATTTCCTTTGCTTTTTAAATTGTCTTCTTAGCACAAAAATACAAATAAACCAGCTGCACCTCTGACCCTGTTCTCTGGAGACACACATTGAGCAGATGTGGCACTTCTCTAACTCATTGTTCTTTTATCTCATTATTAGGTACAGACATAAATACACACATACACTTGGGTTATGCCCAGAGTTAAGATGATGCATAATGCAACCACAAAGTCAGTATTTGGTAGTTCTGCAGAATATAACTCTTAACACTGCATGAAAAAGTGAAATTTGGATGAGGAAAAAGTAGCAAACCCCAAAGATTTCTGGATGTTTGCAGACATTGTCCCACCACAAACCACATACATGTATTAAGGACCAGGTACTTTGAAAAAGGAAGTGGCACAGAGAAATGAACCGGTATGTAGTGTGTTTCTGTGAAATGGTGATTGCTCTCATGACTTTACCCATAAACCTCAGGTCTGGGACAGTGAAATGTAAAAGCAAAACAAAAGAAAGACTGTTGCCAGAGTGGCCTGTGCAAGTGATAATCTAGCAGCTGTTGTTGTGGCCAGGTACTACGGGCTGTCTGTGTGGTTCCCGGATGTCATCAAGCACCTTCAGGCCGATGAATATGCCTCCAGAGTGAAGATTCACAACAACGAACGCACTGAAGACTTCACCTTCAACTTCACCCTGGAGAACCAGATCCACAGAAACGGGGTCTTTCTGAACGACAGGTGTGCGAACTGAGTCCTGGTTGGATTGAAATGTTTTGCAGTGACCCCAGCGGTCTCTGACAACAGACATTAATGATTAAGAAATAGCTCAAAGGTGTAAAGTAACACATTATGATCCAAACCCACAAACAACACACCAAAGCCGGCATTATTAATCCTGCCTCCTTTATCTCCCTCACCACCAGGAAATTAAAATCTCTCTCCCTCTTACCCATGCGCGCACATCTGTTCCTGCTCCCCTGGTTATGCCTCTCACATACACAAAGGCCACAGAGAAGATGCATCGATATGCTGTTTTTGTTCCTTTGCGTGCTCACTGGTGACCAGAGTGTACTTTGATCCAGATTAAATCAAGATACTGTGCACAGCAGAATGCAACAGATATACATAGATCAGTAGCAGACGGCCAAGCTCAGTTATTTTACCCATGCTAAAGGATGGACGTACTAGTCCTTAACTGCGGGGAGAGGTAGAACTCATAATCATTACTTGCAATACCAAACAGTACAATTAATAAAAACTACTATAAACACACACTTTTGTCAGTGTGGCAAGTGTTAGCAGCAAAATGTACTTTAAGTATTTTGTATAGTTTCAGATTGTTACAGTATATTATACATTGTATTAATTACCTTATTACTGATGTATTAAAATTTAAGAAGCATTTTAAAGTCACAGCTGGTAAAGTTGGAACTAATTCATTTGCTTATTCACTGATTCCATTTGACTCTGTAACAACATATAATTTCTTTGTAAGTTGATCGAATACAGGATTTTGTAAAGTTTTTATCGGCAAAGAAACTAGAAACTACAGCTGATGAGTAAAAAATGTTGAGTACAAATATTAACTCTAGTCAAACCTAAAGCCGAGTCTGCTCAGATTTGTACCTCCAGTATTTACTCAAGTGCAGTATTTGAGGAAACACTATTTTTAATCAAGTCAAATGAATCTTTAACATAGCAATAATAATAATAAAGAAGAAAGCAAATAGAATCAATTAGTAAACAATAATTATAGATTTTACCTAGTTTTTCCTTATAAAATATTCCAGTTAGGAAACTTCTTTTGCAAGTCGGTACCAACAAAGCTTGTAGTGATGATCCTACACAGAATGATTTAAAAAAAAATCTCGCTGTCCACGACCTGCTCAGCAGCAAACGGCAGACGGACGCAGTCAGAGCCTGGTGAACACAGTGGAGCGCTGATCAGCCAAGAAGCGTGACATTTCCCTCAGGAGCTGGTAGAAAGTAAAGTTATAAGAGAGTGACTCCAAATGAATGATCATGTTACTGGGTGTGTAAATATGTACGTCTGCTAACAAGTTGGCCATAAAATGTGATGATATCTAAATGTTTATACATTTATTGCTACAGATCCTGAGGAGATCTGAACTTGTTTTGTATGCAGCAGAACTAGCCTGTCTTTGTCCGTGCACTCAGTTAAAACTGTGACTCAGCACATGCTTTTTTTTAAGGGAAATAATTCAGTATCAGCACCTTTGTTGTCAGAAGTGTTACCAGTCCCTATTAATCCTGCTTTATTGGTTGATTCTTCCAATGTTTCCTACTATAATTTCCTCCCCTGTCGGCCTCCATCTCTACCCAGGTTTATCGGTATGAAGTTCAAGGCGGTCACGTTCATTGAGTCATCTTTCCTCAACTGCTATTTTGAAGATGTCTCCTCAGTAGGATCCTCCTTCAAAAACTGTACCTTTGTAGACTCCTTCTTTTACAACACGGGTGAGTCTCCACCTGCGACAGTCACATTCCTCTCCTGCATACAGTTCCCTTACTGAGGGATTTCCTTCCAGACAAATAATTCATCGGCATGTTTTGTTATGATAAAGACACTTGGAACCAAGGCATCAGAATCTCAAACATCAAATCGTGCCTTCAATAAATCCTGTTACAAAAATGCAATCCAACCATTTTGGGCCTGACAAACACAAGCAGAGAGTAAAGGAAAAGCAGGAGAGGTGTTTAAATGTTCTGAGAGAACTGCAGCTGAATCAGACCTTGTGGGAGTGTATGGTGGAAAAGCACTCCCCCCACCCCAGCACTCAGGAACCCGCTGAACATGGAAACAGTAAGGGCACATCAGGTTGCTGGTAATGCCCCATGGGAAATGAAGTTTTTTGGCCCCTGGCTATGTGTCTTTAGAGAGCAGAGGATAAAGAGAGATGAGGAGAGAGAGAAAGAGGAAGAAGGGAGGGATGCAGTGTGAGAGCAGAGAATGATTTCTCATTGCTGCATGTGCATTTTTGATTAGTTGCATGGTATTAGTAGGGTCTATATGCATGTATGAGAACACTGTAGAGTTTTGGACTATATGAGAGTATCATTAAACATCCAGACCGGTATTTCTAAGGTGGAATAATACTACTACTACTACTACTACTACTACTACTAGGGAGCAAGCTTTTTGTGTGTCAGTGTTTGTAGTAATTAAATTAAATGCAGCTTTATGTAGGAATATCCAGCATGTGATATAAACTAAAATATTAGAGACAGATCCTCCTGAAAGCCAGAGCATCAAGATAAATTAATTATGCAGCAGCTACCAGAGTTGAATTTGAATTTGCTGTGAGCCACCTTTTCAGTTCAAAGGCTAAGCTCAAAATCATCTACACTTGAGAAGACCAAATTAACACCACCAAAGAAGAGGATTTAGTTTGTGCAGCAGTGATTTTAAGTCACAGAGTAAAATTTTTCCCTGTCTAAATGGAATATTAGAAGGCGCCAGGCAGTTAAAACCTCACCCTGACTCAGTACTCTGCTCTCTCTGGTGTTTATAGATATCGACGATGCCAAGTTAACAAATTCAAGGGTGATCAACAGCTCCTTCCACCACAACAAGACAGGCTGTCAGATGACGTTTGATGATGATTACAGCGCCTACTGGGTCTATTTTGTCAACTTCCTGGGAACACTGGCTGTGTTGCCCGGGAACATCATCTCTGCCCTCCTCATGGACAAAATAGGACGCCTTAGCATGCTAGGTATGACATAACATTCTCTCTGGGCTTTGAGGACTTGCTCTGACTTTTTGTTTGGGTTATGAATAGCAGCTCTTGACAAATGTCTCAACCTCTCCTGTTGCTGGCCTTTGTGTTTGCACTGACCTCTAATGACGTAAATGAGGCTAATTTGTGTCTGAGATGTAGGAGATGTGTCACGTTGTGCCCTGCAGGAGGCTCCATGGTGCTTTCAGGCATCAGCTGCTTCTTCCTTTGGTTCGGCACCACCGAGTCGATGATGATCTTCATGCTCTGTCTCTACAACGGCCTCAGTATCTCTGCCTGGAACTCGCTGGATGTGGTCACCGCTGAGCTGTATCCAACTGACAGGAGGTGAGGGCTGCACTCAGAGCATTACATTTAATGGGGTTTTGTGAAAACAGTGAGGGGGGGGTCTCAGACCCCCAGAAAATCTAAAAATGAAATGATTTCAGGGAGGTCTTACAAATGTCCCTAGTTCGCTTATATTTATCTACACAATGTGATTTATGTGACTTTATAAATGTTTATGTTTTTAAAATAATACTTTAAAAATAAATAGCAGTCACTGCCTTTATGATGTTGTATCAAAAGTGTTTGTGCCCCAGAAACAGACTGTGGTCCTCAGGAGCGAGCAGCCTGCTACATGTATCATCACCCACTTTATCTACACCTACATCTGTTTTTGTCAAATTATCACAAAATGCAAAAACAGACACAGTGTACATTGTCGTGGTGTAATGAAGGTCTGTCTTTGTGATACTCGATTGCTTGTGGAAATGGGCACGGTGACGTCAGACTGATTCACTGTACCTGTTGTTAACAGAGCCTTAACATAATTGACATCTGTAGGGCAAGTCTCCAGAGAGGCCACTGTGTGAGAGGAGTTACATTCAGTAGATTTGCATTTGGATTGGTCATTAAAGGTTCTCGAGGTAGAGCGAGGACAGAATGAAGATTTTAAAAAAAGTTGAGCAGTTCACTATACCCTTTCGAAAAGAAATCACATAATCATGCTTCAAGTTATCCAGAAGTAAGATGACACCTAAATCTGATTCTCCCTTCCATGTCTTCCTTCTCTCCTTGTTTGCAGGGGCACAGGCTTTGGTTTCTGTAATGCCATGTGTAAGCTGGCAGCGGTGCTGGGCAACCTGATATTTGGCTCGCTAGTTGGCATCACCAAAGCTATCCCCATCCTGCTGGCATCATCTGTGCTGGTTGGCGGCGGCCTGGTGGGGCTCCGACTGCCAGACACGCGTGCCAATGTCCTCATGTAAACCTCAGCACCAGGTGTTTACTCAGTGTAGTGAATAATGATTCACTTATGTACCACAGTATGGTTTATTTGAATATCACCAATGCAAACACTGCTTTCATGATTCTTGGCACTTATTATTTGATAAATATTGTTGTCTATGTTCACAAACTCAAATACCAGGACAAGTGATTGTTATTCTGTTATTTCTGGGTAAAACACCTGGTAACATAGGATACTGGAATGCAGTTTAACTTAACAGAGCTGAAGATATAAAGAGTTTGAAGACTAGAGTCAAAGTTGGACACATCTAGGTGTTCTCAGAGACTGGTTACCAATGTCCTGGGTAACTTCAAGGCTACTCTTGGGAAACGAACTAGATGTATTAGTGGTGATAAAACTCTGTATATCAGCAGCTTACTATCTACCATGGGCCGTTCTACACATGCAACCCACAAATGCATATGTTAAAGCTGCAAAAGACTTGGACGTCCAACAGCCTTCCATTTACAAATCTGTTCAGTCTTGCTCACATTAAAGGAATAGTTTGAGAAATACACATTTGCTTTCTTACTGAGAGACAGGAGATACTGATACTCTTTTCTCTGTAGAATGAATATGAACAGTGGTGGAGAGTAACTAGATAGTTTTACTCAAGCACTGTACGTAAGTACAGTATGGAGGTACTTGTACTTAAGTATTTTTTATTTTATTTATTTCAGCTGATTTATACTTGTACTCTAGTGCAGTTCAGAGGCAACTCTACTTTTTACATGTGCCACAATAAGAGTAGTTTACACTACATTTATTTTATAGTAATTATTTGAGTTACTCTGCAGAGTTAATCTAATAATAAACATAAAATCAACAAATAATTGATAGGTTAAAATTAATTTGAAGATAAAAACTTGATTGATCCTGCATACACAAGCTACACTGCATTATGGAAAGAAATAAAAACTAGCCCCACTTTTCCTAGTTGCATGAAACAACATTAAAGTGATGCACACATTAATGCATCTGTAGTTATGTCAAGAATACATCAATACAGTATATTACTCTGAATTTTGCCATTTTCCATTATGAGTGCTTTTACCTTTGGTACCCAAGTAGAACAGCTGAGTTGATGACTGTGCCACTGCTACTTTAGCTTAAGTAAAACACGTGAAAGCCTCTTCCACCACTGAATATGAAGATTCAGCTACTGTAGCAGCTGTTTAGCTTAGCTTAGCATAAAGACTGGAAGCAGATAGAAACAGCTAGCCTGGCTCTATCCAAAGCTAACAGAATGAAAGCAATGCCAGCCTCCTACAGTAGCACCTATAAACCACAACATATTAATTCTACACCTGGGTTTTTGCATGGATTGATCAATTGAGATGTAATGTACAGGAACAGGAAGTGGCAAGCTATCCCCCTTGTTTTCAGTCATTATGCTAAGCTAAGCTAAGTTTATTTATTGTACAACCACACCACTGATATGAATCTCCTCAACTAGCTCTAAGCTACAAAGGGGAGTTTTCAACAATATGTCAAACTATTCCTTTAAGTCCAGATCATTTTGTAACAGTTGTGTATTTGTGATTATGATTATTTATTTTTGTATTTATTTATTTTGTAATTTATGTTTGTTAATTGCTGCTTCTTTACTGAGCTGTTCTGTTTCCTGGCCGCTGTTTCTAAACTTGTGATCGATATTCCACTAATGTTGGTGACGTTCAAGCTTTTTGCTGCAGTTTGCAAGAATGACAAGGCCATAAAAAATAATCAATAAGAATAAAGTAGTTTAGTGAAAACCGGCGACTTCAGCAGCTACATTTATAAAGTGAAGAGAAGTTTACATTTTCTGCTTTTTACAGTAAGAGACTTTTGAGATTGGAGGCCTGTTGTTTGACTGCTTCCTCTCCCCCTCTCTCGTGTCGTGTTGTGTTCGTCTCGTGGCACTGAGCTCACCGTGAAGGGCTTTGCTCTCCATTGCAAGCTGATCTGTCAAGAACAGTTTATACTGTAGGAAACCTCTGCTGTTTCTCACAATCTGTCTCAGTTTCCTCGTAGTGTCTCTCGCCCTGTCTCGTGCTCTTGCCCTGTTTATCTCCTCCCGCCTTGCTGCTGCACCCTCTGAAACTCAGAGGCCTTTCTCAGATGTTGTGCCTCTCTCTCTCTCTCCAGTAATCCCGTCTCTCCTTCCAAACCTTGCTGGAAGCTTTGCTGCGTTATTCTGCTTTTTTTGGCCTTCCACCTTGATAGAGCAGTATGTGCTGTATGTCTGTGGTGGATGAGTGTGTGTGTCCAGACAAATCTCATATGTAGAAAGCCAAGGTTTGTATTTTTCAAAAAAATATTTTTTTCTTATACTAAGGTTCTGGGTTTTTTGGAGGAGTTGACCCCCATCATAAAGTGAAATTAAAAGCCATGTCTAAATGGTCACTTCATGCAAATGATAAAACAAACAAACAAAAAAAGCAAAATTTTTTTGGCGGAAGGGGGGGGGGGGGGGGTCTCATCAGGTAAAAAACATCTTCTGGCAAGGCGCTGGGTTTTGGCCAATCAAATACATGCAATACCTCTTGATTACTTTCTAATACCAGTGCAGTATTTCTAGTTTTACTCATGATATTGTGATAACAGATAAAATAATTGCCACAGTGATGAATTTTCAGTGACTTTAGATCCTATCTGTGAGTATTATAAACTGTGTTTTGGAATCTTACAGGGCTTTAAATGCATTAATCTATCACTCCAAACAGACCTCTCGGACTGTACTTCACTGTCCCACTGGTGGACAACATGCACCACTACAACGACCCTGTGCTGCTCTGCAGGGCTGACATTTGCTAATTAGCTTAGCACTAAGCACAAACTTGAGCGAAGGCTAATATAATTTTTACAGGTTTTTGATTATAAAAACTAATATTCTGACCTTAAAGTGAAATTAATAAAAGTTAAGGTATCACCAAGTCATTATACTTGATCTTTAGGGATCATTAATGTGAATACCAGATTTCGTGGCAGTCCATCTAATAGTTGTTGAGATATTCTTCCTACTCCATTCAAGCATGTACTAGGTATAAGCAAATTGATATCGGATTATGTGTAAAATTATGTGTGTTGTCATATCAACTGTTTTTACATGCTTGAAAGAATAAATCAAATCAAATCAATATTTCCCTAGAAATACTAATGAAGTTTCATCACCAAAGTCAGTCAGGTTCATCCTCTGGGGACCAAAAATGTCTGTCCAAAATTTTATGGCAATTCATCCATCACTCTGGAGCAACATTGTCGTCCCCAGGGCTGTTAATGTGGCTATAAATTTAATATCCGTGTGTCTTCAGAAACAGTGGCGGGATGCCTGCATGGCTAAATGCTGCTACACTCAATAAGAAAATGTTTGGTTTTTGTGATTTGGATGAACAGACCCTTTATAACTTTGATTTAAACTATTTCAGCTCAGTGCTTTGATGTTTAAAAAGCATTAAGTCATATAAGAAATATAAATCTGTTTGTTCTCTGCTGGGTTTGTTCAGTCATCCAAAACAATATTTAAATACAAAAGTTCAGTAATGCATCCAGTTATTTTTGTGTGGTGTTGCTTAAATCATATTTCTTACAGTGGAAAGAATCAGCACCGCACACAAGCTCCAACATGCAGCTGTTTCCTTGTAGGATTTTTGTGACTGAAATGCAGCTGTTTCAAAATATGAATCTGGTTTCCTGATGAGTCTGTCTGATGCTTTATCTGTCTGTCTGCATTGTCCCTTCCTTCAAACACCACCACCTGTACTGAACAAACTCTCACTGTTTCCAAAAGAAATCCTGCATGTTTGTTACTGAAGTCCCTCTGTTGTGTGTTCTTTTTTGTTTCGGTGTCTTTGCTGTTGCTCTGCGGGAGGTAACAGCCATGTGATTCCCGGGTGAAAGGTGAATGTATTCATCTTGTGTGTTGTCAGATTTGTTGTGGACAGGTGTTGATTGTACTGAGCTGATGTCTTGGTGGTGAGGCAACTGTCTGTCCAGCATGGGCGGTCAAATCTGCTTTTGTTTCCAGTTAGATTCATCACTGAAGCACAACTGAAACCTAGTGACAGATTTGAAAACCTCTGCTGTCAAACAATATGTGGAGGTGTTTATGATACCTGTCCTTGATATTTATTTTAATAAGAAAAGTGAAAGTGAATGCATTGTAAAGGTGAGTTCCTTTAGTGTCTACATATTGAATAAAGAGTTTCATTAGAACAGATGTGTGGACTCTATTCAATGTCCATCTGTGGCTGCACCTTCTTCCACCAGCAGGTGGCACTGTTTATTCAAAATTAACAAGGACAGGCTCCTTTGTTTGAAGTTAGTCATAAAAGAATTCTGCATAGTTTTATGCCAAATTCCTGTTGATTGTTTAGATTTGTTCTGAAGGGAAAGGTGACTAAGATTACTTTTAGTTTATTTGACATCAGTAGTGGCTTTGGAGCATTTTAACCACAGGGGCCAAACTGGAACCAGCTGTTTTCAAAGGAGCTGGTTAAATTAAAACTACAGTTACAGGATGACAAAAGCACAAGAGACACAATATCATAAAACTGGCTCAGTAATGTCAACACCCGCAGTAAGATGCTGCAGTTTGATAGCATTAGATATTAAGATAGCCCAAGTAAGGATGTAGCAATCAGAAAAGAGGCAGACATAAAGATGATGTGGTACAGTAAGTATTATTTATATCTTATTGTGAGAAAAATGTTTTGCCATACATGAAACTAAAGAACTATAAAAATGCCTTATTTCTACTGTGGTCCTTGACATAAATATGGTGAAGATGCCAGGGTGCGTGTGACAAACCAGCACAACACATATCTAGCCTTTACTCTCAAACACAGAAGACAGATCTGAACTCGTAGGGTAAACTGTGACTTATCTCAACCTTCTTTTTACAGCTGCGGTGATTGCCTAATATTTTAAGGCATGAAGGTCATTTAATACGATAACCGTCGTAGCAGAAGCATCAAAACTACATCTCAGCCAGACGAATTTCAGTCTGATGGGAGGAGTTCCACAAACCCTACAGAGCTTCATGATTTTTTTAAATCTGACATTTTAGTACAATATTAACACAATCACATGGTTGGTGTATTTCAATTTTAGCTGCAGACTTTATATTTATTTGCAGACATAAAGTCACATGCACAACATTTCTGTAACACCTTAGAAATTTTTTCCAAAGCTATAAAAGTCTGCCTGTGTTTTTGTGCGGTGCGCCACCCCACATCCTGTAACAGGGTGAGCAGAAAATATCAGCTCAGTGGGGGGGGAGTGATGAGACATAGTTGAAATTTATTGTTCAGGCATTAATGATAAACAAAGCTCTAGATTCAGAAACACTAAGAATATATCTAAAACTAGTACATGTACTGAGAATCTATGTTCTAGAAAATGGAGGAGGCATTTTAATGAAGGACAAACAATTAACACAAAATAGACAGTTACTGTTTTAATCGACAGGCTGATTACAGGAATAAATAAAGGCTTTGAAGGCTTATTTTCTAATGTCAGGCTGCTTCACTCCATTACTTTATCTATAAATGGCCCCCCACAGGAAATGCTTCAACACAAAAGCACATTTTCATCAGTTTCATCAGAATGAAAATATTAAAAACAGCAGTTAAACCACAAACATATACATGAATTAATATACAGTATATTAATAGCAATAATTCTTTCTGCAGTAGCATTTTATCCAGTTGATGCAACAAGTCCTTTGTGTTTACTACAATAGAAACAGAGCTGATGTCATTTAACTTCCTCTTTGATTCCAGTCACAGAGAACATTTCCCTCTTCATCAGCTGCAAAATGAAAATCATAACCAGTTTTTGCTATTGTCCAGCAGGGATCCATCAGACAGACAAGCTCATGGTCTTGCCTTTAAAGGCCCTGAAGTAATGCCTGGAGCCTGAAGACTTGGACATGAGGAGAAAGAGGAAGGGGTCCAGACAGGCATGGAGGCAGCACAAACACACCGCCACATTAAAGTACACATATAAACTCTCAGTTCCACCCACAGACAGTTGCACATAATGGAGGAGGTGCAGGACTGCAGCAGGGGTGAAACACACCACAAAGATGACAAACACCAGCGAGCTGGCCTTGATGTACATTGCCCAGTCATGGTGTGACTGTGTGAGCTCAAAGACAATTCGGGTGTAACACACAACCGTGACCACCAGCGGCACCAGGAGACCAAAGATGTTCAGGAACAGGTTGTAGTAGAGCAGGAAGATGTGGGAGTCATTGTATGTCAGTATGTCATGGCAGGTGATGCGGCCTATCTCAGGGATCCAGTAGCTCTGCCGGATGAGGAGCTCGGGGACAACAGCAAGACCAAACACCACCCATACAACCAACGTGACCCAGGCAGTGCACATCTGCTTCGGGAGACTTTTGTACATGAACGGGTGCACTACAGCCAGGTAGCGCTTGATGCTGATGCAGCCCAGCGTCTGGGCCGAGCAGTACAGGTTGCCATAGAAACAGGCCGTGACCACCCGGCAGGCGGCCTCTCCGAGAGCCCAGTGGTTTCCATGGAGATGGTAGTGAGACTTGAAGAAGAGGGAGAGGAGGAGGAAGAGGTCGGACACTGCCAGGCTGCAGTAGAGGATGGCAGAGGACACCTTCCTCAGTTTAGAGGCCAACGTGCACAAGATGGCAACGTTGGCGGGGATCCCGACACTGAGCACCAACACATAAATAATGGGTATGACCCGGGTGCTCAGGGGCCCGAGGAGGTATCCTGCTGTGTTGTTGCTGAGTAACCGCAGTGCTGGAGTGGAACTGGACAAAATGGGAGCTTGAGTCCCATTCAGGACAAGATTGACATTCGTCCCAATGAACAGCTCCCCTCTAAATGTCCTGCCTACAGGACGAACAACCACAGAGTTGTTCTCCCGCTCTAGCAACGAGAAATGGCAACAAGATCATTTAGCATTCATTGTACTTTAACATACCTTATTAAAATTCAACGTTGGCAAACAATACACTGCTGATTAGGGCTACAGCTAACTGTTGTTTTAGATGAATTCTTCAGTAAAATGTTGAAAAATGTCTGAAAGAAGATTTTAAAAAAGTTTTCTAAAGATCAAGGTGACACCTTCAGATGGCTTGTTTTGTTTGATCAAGAGGACAAAGACAATTACTTTATTACACAAATCTCTTGGATGGCTGACATCAAGCAACTGAAATGATTCTCAACACTAATCACTCATTTGTCCAGTTGTTTCAGATCTAATCCCAGTAACAGACCATCTGGTGTCATATTGATATGTAGTGTGGTGTTACAGTGAGTCAGTGACAACTTTTTGCAAGTTGTAGTTTGTTTTTAATGAATTTGATTTCACCTCAAGTTGGATTCATTTCTATTACTGACAGTTTTCAACAAATTACAGCAGTCCTATTCTTCACATGAGAGTTTTAGAATAAATTGGTTGTAAAGCAACAAACACTAAGATGCCTGATCACAGAATCTTAAAGTGAACTTTGATGAGCTTACTTTTATTTTGAAGTGATCCACTGAGACAGAGAACAAAGACAACAGAAAAGAAAAGATTCCTCATCGTTTCTGATCATTCAGCAGCAGCTTAGCTCAGTTGTCACAGGCGGATCTCGCGTCTCTCTGTGTTCTCAGCTTCATGCTTCACTTCTGTCTGCTGCCACACTGTGGGTGGACTCGTCAGAAACACCTCCCCCAACCATAAAAAACAGGAAGCAAGCATAAATGGGTAGACTGTTTTATGGGCATCAAAGGTGACAGTAGTGAACCACACTCTTTTTTTTAGTTATTCAAGGTTCAAAGGGTCAAAGTGTTTATTTGTCATATGCACAGATAAGAAATGTGTTTCCCTGTACAATGAAACTTTTATATTGCCGTCCACATGAATGTCACATAATACAAGTGAAATATAAAGTAGATGAGCAATAACACAAATCTAAATAAGCAGTATTACAAATCTAAGGCACTTTAAAGCAGCAAGTGAAGGAAGCAAATAAAAATACAACAAGAACACAATATAATACAGAGACGATATATGCTACGTGGGAGGTGTGAAGTACAAATGGAAGTACATGAGGTAGATCCTGAGTCAGCTGTTTAGGAGTCTGATGGCAGTTGGAAAGAAAGAGTTTTTCAGTCTAAAAGTCCTGCATTTCACACCTCTGAGCCTCCGACTGGAGGACTGGGGTATGAACAGAGTTTAATTTGTTTGGTTACAGGGTTTGTTTCAGTCTTTGTCTGTAAGATGGATACAGGAACTCTACTCTTTTTTATAAATTGTTGTTGTATATGTCTCTTCTAAGTAGGCTTCTGTGTTGGTTCTGTATCCACTTCATCAGGTACTGATTCATCATATAGTACCATTCATTCATTCATCTTTCATGATGTGGTTTCTAACTGAAACATTATATTCTATCCACAAGATGCGGTCTTACATTTCAGCCTGATGTATGTGCTACATTTCTTCTTTTACCGATAATATGATGCCTGCAGGGACGTGGAGTTGAGTAAGAAATGGAGGCGGGCCACTGACTCTGAAATTTCTAGGAAATCTGTCTGAAGATGATAAGCTTGTCTGAACATGAGAAGTCTTGTTTAGTCTTCACTTCCACACTTTTGAAAATCTGTTTTCACAGAGATCTTTTATTAAAGACCTTTGTTGCTTCTTTGCGACAGTTGTGTGATGATCTAAAAAAAAGCGAAAGTCTAACATGGTGTCAACAAGTGTGTCCTCACAGAATCACAGCATGTGCAGTTCAGCTTTTTTTTAAATTTCTTTTTGGATTTACAGGAAACCTTATTTGCTTTAACTGCATACTGTGTGTCACAGTTGGAAGTACTCTTTGGGTATTTTTACTTGCCTGTTTCAGTGGATATTTTATTATTTGAACCCAGGATCTAGCTGATCCCAGATGTGACCCGTGTCTTGTTTTGTTCTAGTTTGTTTGTCAAATATGTGGAAAGACATGTTTTCACTTCCCATATCCATTTGACCTCAGATTCAGCACAGACAGAGCCCCGCGGATATGGGGGGCCCGCCTCCCATCCATGACTTTACAGCTGACGTCTCAGATGACTCAGAATGAGAACAAGCAGCACACCTTTATTCGTCTGAAGCGTCTTTTTTGGTAACAGTGTTTAAAAAAAAAAGGATAAAGCTGCACTAATCAACAGTTTTACATTAACATAGGTTCAAATGACTGTATGTACTGTAAGAGGTAACCCTCAGAGAACAGCTAAAAGTCAGAGGTGCTGTTTACTATAAGATACACAAAAGACAAATGACAGCAGCATCTGTAACAAAAAAAAAGATATTTCCTGTAACAGTGACAGTAATTCTGTGAATTACACATTTGTTTCAGGCTTTTTTGAGAAAATGCTAAATTAATCTCCTTCCTCTTTTTAAAGGACAGCAATGCATCTGCAGCAGACATCTGTTTCCTGTGTCACTGTCGTCATACAGCTGCTTCATCCTGCAATACTGCTTTCAGTTTCTTTCCACATCTGGGATGTGGTTTTCTGAGAAAAACCAGTCCTGTTCAAACATGAAAGGAAGATTTTTTTTTTTGAAACAGTGTTTATGAAAGATGTTAGATTCACACCCAGACTGAAAGGCTGTCACTGTCTGTAAATCTCACATATTGTAAAAATCTAATCAGCTCTTATCTGTGGAAAGAGTTTAAAACTGATACTATTACAAGTAACTGCCACTCGTCCCCACTAGAGGGCGACATGCCCCTTTGTTAGGATTTTATATACATTTTATGACAAAAAACTACTTAATGCCAGCATCATCTTTCTTCACAGTTCTTTTCTACAAAGCTCCCAACAATACATAGCCAGGCTCTATGGTATTTAGGTCGTCATGGGGAAGAAGTTGGGCAAATATACTGACACTCCCTTCAGTTGTTTGTTTCAGATGACTCAGATAACGGGACAATTTGTTTCCCATACAGTCCTATATTTATACTGTCTGTAGTATGTAGTGATGAAAACACAATGAATCTGTGTGGTGATTCTGGACCAGACTTGGATGAAAATGGTTCAAGCTTCATTTGTGAAAACAGAATCATTTAAAAAGCATACTGACAAATTTCTTTAGAGGAAAAATTTGTTAGTTTATATTGTTAAAATGAGGCTAAAACTGCACTAATCAATGGGCATCTGTTGATTAGTGTAATGGTTTCTATAGTACCACAGAAAACATTAACTATGAGCACTGGGAGAAGGGTCACTAACCCTCAGAGAACTGCATATATCACCAGTCACCCTCAGTACAAGCTTGTTAGCTTTTTCCACCTGCTTGTTTGAAAGGGACCTGGCTGCAGACAAGATAGAGGACTATGACCAAGATTTGCACACAGTCAGCCTCTCCTGGAAGTTATCAACCTGCCTAGGGTTAACCTGCCTAGCTGAACAGATTCCGGGTAATATCACCAAGTTCCTGACAAGGTCGGGTGTCCTCAAGCTCATCTGCAAACAGGTTCCTTTGGATAGTCTTGGTTCTCAGGAACCTTTCTGCTTTGTTTCACTCTCGCTGCTCTCGTTATTTCCAGGCTATTTTCAAAAACCTCTGAAAAAACCTGAAAATCAAAGTTACCATCCAGCTGGTGCAGAAAGTGGCAGAACTAGCAGCATTAGCAAGATGTTTCTCTCAGGACTTAGTGGAGACCAAAACAAAAGAAGAAGAAGAGTAAATATTGGGCTTGTATTTCAAAGTTCCTTTCAAAGTGTTTATTGTCATTACCATTAGCTCCACCTTTACCAGCAGCAACATTAAACTGATGAACACAATAATACATCAATAATTATAATTAAAAAATATGATATAATTAATGTGAAATGTGGAACTCTACATAAAAAGTACTTTTACTTTTGGTATATTTGGATGCTACTACTTTTGTACTTTTACTCAAGTAACACTTTGAATGGAGCCCTTTCACTTGTAACAGCATTTGGACACCCTGGTAATTTTACTTAAACTTCCTCCTCTGTGGTAAAGTGTGAGATCCTGTGTGGGAGGCTGCTCAGTCCACATCTCACTCTATCTGCACATATTTAGCTATAAACCGACCACAGTGATGTTTAAAAAACTTTTCTAAGAAGAAGATGTTATCATAGGTTGTCTGCAAACCATCTGAACAGCTCTGGGTGGGAACAAAATATGCTCTGTGATATTCTGACAGTTCATCACTAGCTTAATGCAGTTTGACTGAACTGGCCTGTTCTCACTGCGCAAAGCCCAGAGAATGGTAAAATGAACAGGAATTAAACTCGCGAGCCAGTGGCCTGGAGCTGTGCCAGCGACTTCACACTGGACCTAATCTCCCTGTGTCTGTATCCTGCCTTCTTCTAGGAATGTTAGCCTAGCAACGCCCAAGCACAGCAGACTACAAGAGAAACATGACCTCCACAGCAGACACCATGTCCAGCTGTGCTTTCTCTCAAAACACATTTCGAAGTAACCGTAATTGTACGGGACACTTCAGCATTTTGGTCTGTACTGGACACAGTCTAAACACAAGCTTGATAAATCACAAATTGTTTCAAAGCTCTAAGTCTCCTGATTTTATGCGAGCAATGAATTTTTAGGATCCCTTTATCACTGCAGCAGCTGTTTTTCATTTTGCACAAGGTTAACACACATAGTGAGCAGAGACACGTGTCCAAGTGCTAAAAGCTCCACAACAGTCCAATGTACAAACTGCACCAATGCATGACATGTGTTGTCATGGAGAAAAAGGTTGTTTTGTTTGCGAGTGACTGACTGAGACCAGAGGAATGGCTTTAATCAAAAGGGTGAAAGGCATTTCTCCTAAGCTGCTGGCACAAACAACACACAGTCGTTTTTTTACAGGAGGACAGTCTTCTTCCGGTCACAGTGACTCCACAAATGGTGTAATGTGTTAGTTAGCAAGCTTTAGAGGTTATTGATTGTGTTATCTTTGAACAAAGCCAGGCTAGCTGTTCCCACTGTTTCTAAGCTGATAAGCATGCTAAGCTAACCAACTGCGTCATTTGTGAGAAACAGGAATGAGTAGAGATAATCTAACTCTCGGCAAGAGGTGTAATCCCAAAGTGTCCAACTGTTCCTTTATGAAACACGCATCAACCAAAAGCAGGTCCTATATAGGCGGGAAATGATCTTATGACTCAAATGAAGTATGCTGTATAAATAAGAAACAGATCATTGTGAGGAAGTGTCTGACTTCCTGTGACCTCAGAGTCCCAGCCGACATAAAGCTCAGGATGAATGAGTCAGGCTGCACCCACCCTGTCCTGGGCCCATCCTCTCCCGGTTTCCGTCCCACACTGAGAAGGTGGCCTGTCTTACAAACAGACCTTCTCTGTGCCATTTTGTTTGTTTGTTTTCAGGTGCTGTCTTCTGTCCCATCTCAAATGCAGCAAAAGCTCCCAGGAACAAACACATGGAAGCGAACGCTCCCATGACTCCAGCTCATTTGATCTTGAACTCCACCAGAAGCCATGGGAACAGTTTTGCCATATGTGAAAATAAATAGCATGTGATCTTCTGGACAGAGATGCCATTAGAGCATGAACAGCCAGCTTACACAGACAAGTAAACAGACTCATAATTAGTTCGAAAATAAGTAATCTGCCTGGCTTCTCTGTAAGCCGTTGCCCATCTGATATGTACATCTGACTGCGCCAAGCAGCTCTTAAAATTCTCCAGGGATCTGCCGCTTCATGCCAGACTAATGACCTTGTTTACTGGTGCTCCAGCACCCACCGGAAATGTGCTGGTGGGTGTTGTCATTCCAAAGTCCAAAAATAAATAAATAAAGACATAAAAACAAAGGTTCTCACTGGCAGCCTGCTCATATTCACCAGTTACATCATAAACTAGTGTATAGACATATTATCACTAGATTTAATTCAAAAGTTGTGAAAATTTAGATTTCCAGTAAATGAATACATGATCAGACTAAAGATGTGGCGTATTTGTGCAACATGTGGAGCCGCCCTGAGTTTCTTCATATGAAGTGTTTAGCAATCAAGCATGTTCCAAATAAGAAATGTTTCTAGCCATATGTATTACATGTTTTGATGTGCTGGTAAGTGAATTCCTACTTTTGTGTCATCACAACTAGATTATAGAAACTCATTATACTTCCACCTCAGCCAAAGATCTATAGTATCTAGACCTGTAGATGGTTCAGCACAGGGACCACTGTAGTCGGAGTTGGCCTCTCTTCATTGGCTACCAGTGGAGTTTAGATTTCACTGTAAAATGCAAAGTGCATTTCTGAACTTCCCATATGTCCATATGGTAACTTATAGTGAGGTCAGCTGTCTCCTGACTGTTCCTGGTGTGTGCTGCCTTAAAAAGAAGGGAGGCCAAGCATTTCCTGTGGTTGTTACCCCCTGGGCTGCAGTTAGATCACCCAGTTCAACTGAGGTAATAATAAGAATTCAAGTTTTGTTGTAATTTCTTGCTGTTCTGAGCTGATATTTACCTTTTTATGTTGACGTTATTTGTTTTAGCAAGCAATTGTGGTAAATACTTTTATTGTGAAAAACGCTGTATAAATAAATCTTTAACAAAAGAAAAACTTTGTGATAGAAATGAACAGGTTACATTGTACTTAAATGACTGAATGTTGATGACATCGCCAACATTTTCCCACGTCCCTTCATTATTTAAACCGGTTTACTTGTGGTTCGTTTGGTTCTGACACTGGTTTACTGGATCCCGCTGCTGCTGCTGTGCGACGGGAAAGGTGACATCAGGGCCGAGGAACGCGCCTGTGCCAGCAGGCCGCAGTGGGCTGGGCGGACACTGCGCGCACGGTGCGCGCGTCAGCGGCCGAGGGTCCGCAGCAGAAAGAGCTTGCGAGACGAGCGAGCAGCCCGGACCCGCTACAAGTGGATTAACTGTATCAAACGCTGCTTTTCTGTCAGTTTTCCTCAGCAAAATGTTTCCAGTGGATCCGAAAACCTCACTGTTGGTTCTGGTTTGTGCGTTTGCTGCTTCGGCTGCAGCCCGAAACGGTAAGACGTCACTTTCTACAGGTTGTTTCTTCAGCACGGCTCCATAGTGTTTTTATTGGCGTCTTGTTAAACGTTTGTACATCCATTATGGAAAGAATATCGTTTACTGTGTTGATGAAATAGAGCTGAAATGATTAGTTGATTAATCGATAATCAGCAACAGCTTGATCGGTTCTTTTCCAGCAGAAATAGTGAGAAAATAATCCTCAGACTAATTGAAAATTAAAAGAATCGTTAGTTGACTACTGAACTAAGAAATTGCTGCAGATAAAGATTGTTTACATTATTGATTAATGTGCAATTTATCGCTTCATAAAGTGTGAAACAAATCGTGGAAAATGACGACGTATCAAGGTGGCGTCATAAAATCCCGAAGCATTTACATTAAGTTTATATTAAACCTTAGAGAAACAACACAGGAGAAGCACAATACCCATAATGTTTGGCTTCCCCCTGAAAATAACGGAAATCATTAGGCTCTTGTGTTTATCAGTATAGTTCCTACTTGTTTGTTTTTCACTTTTCTGTGAAAGAAGGGTTTGATAATGATTTTTCTATTAATTATTTGGCCTATAAGATAAAACACAGCCACACTGACACAATGGTTTGATTTATAAAACATAAGAAATGCCTGTCAGAGTTTCCCAGGGCTCAGGGTTACATTTTCATTTAGTCCAGTGAACATTTAAAATCCCACAATGTTCAGTTTTAATGATATGAAAACCTCACACTGAAGCAGTTTGGCATTTTGATTGAAACTTGACTGGCTCAGTTACTGAAATAGCTTAATTTTCTGTCAATCATCCAGTCAAATCCTAATATGAATAAAATACCTGTTGATAATAACCATGACTAAACCACCTTGTATCCCCCTGACTCTTCTTTCTCTCTCTCCAGCCAGTTGGAACGGCAGGACCTTTGTCATTTTTGACAGTTCAGTCACAGATGAGCCAATAGACACGGATGGTCTTTTTACAGATGCTAAAGATAATCGTAGAAGTGGTTGGGTGCGTAATGTAACCAACACCAGCAGGCCGGACATCTCTAAAGAGGCGCTGCTGTTTCTCACGGGGCCTGTGTCCACCATCCTCATCCCTTCCTTCTACACCCTGGTCTGCCTCCTCAGCGTGCCAATCAACATCTGTGCCATGTTGGTCTTCATTCACAGGATCCAGCCCAAGAAGCCAGCAGTAATCTACATGCTGAACTTGGCCTGCGCCGACCTGCTCTTTGCCGCACTGCTCCCCTTCAAGATCTCCTACCACTTCAGTGGTAACAACTGGATATTCGGGCCGATCATGTGCCGTGTGGTCACTGCAGCCTTCTACTGGAACATGTACTGCTCTGTTCTGCTCATAGCTTGCATCAGCGTGGACCGGCTTCTCGCTGTGGTCTCCCCCATCCACTCCCTGACTTGGAGGAGACCACAGAATGCAGTTATTGCCTGCGCAGCCATGTGGATACTATCTTTGGCCGGCTCGGTGCCCCTCGTCCTCTCCAACCAGACTGTTCACCTGAAGCAGCTGGACATCACCACCTGCCATGATGTCCAGTCCTCACACAAGGTCATCTGGCACTACAGAGTCTACTTCATCACCCTGTGCTGCGCCCTCTTCTTCCTGCCCCTGCTTGTCACAGTGGTGTCCTACACTCGGGTGATCTGGTCTCTGAGCAGGGTCCCACACGGGTTCCCAGGACGTTCACGCAGAAAAACACGAGCAGTGGTGATGGCTTTAACAGTGCTGGTGATGTTTGTGCTGTGTTTCACGCCCACAAACTGCCTGCTGCTCACTCACTACCTGCAGTTTAACGAAGGAGTGGAGATGAGCCGAGAGACCCCCGACGGCTCCTACGCAGCCTATCTGGTGTTTATGTGTCTGGGAAGTCTGAACTGCCTCCTGGACCCCCTGCTCTATTACTTTGGGTCATCCCAGTGCCAGAGACAACTGTCCAGCGCCCTGAGGTGTCAGAAGATCACAGAGGGCAGGAGCAGCACTCATTTGTCATCGGATTTATGCAAATCCAGCTCCAGAGCGACTGTGAAAACCAGCTGTACTGAAAGCTCCAAGATAAACACTCCGCTAAACAAAGTGGACTCTTTCCAAGCAGGCCTAGGGTGTAGAGGATGGGACTGAGGACAACTGAACTGAGTCTTACTAAAGTATGAAGTATAGCATGAAGTTCCAGTATCAGCTGATGAAGAGCAGAGATTTTAGCCAGTATTTCAGCTGATGAAGAGCAGAGATTTTAGCCTGCTGTGTGTATTTTCTTCCAAAATGTAAATGTGAGGGCTGAGCCTGTCGTGCCAACAGAAAGAGTTAACACCTTCGTTTCAAAACTCCAAATGTGCATTTTGACTGAGGAATGTAGTAAGAAAACAAAATAGGGAAGGAAGAAGGTTGAGATTAGATAAGGATGTGTTTTCTAGAACAATTCAGCTAAACATGCTTTTTCCTCTGCATGTATACCAGCTTCTAAGTTTATGTACTTGCTATTTTGTTTTTTCTGATTATATATTTGCTGAAAAGTTTATTTTCATGCAGTAAAGGTGTTTGACATTTTTTCATTTGAATGTTTTTTGAAACCATTTTAAAAAAATACTTTTTATTTCTAAATGAATTTTGGACTGTGACAGTTTTGCAGAGTGAACCTCATACCGTGTGTCAGACTGATTCCTGTTAGTGGGAAACGTGTACTATGAAATGTGTGTCCTATTAAAGCTGTTACAACATTTCTTACTATTTTCAGAGTTTTTACAAACCAGTCGGTGAAATAATGGAGAAAACAGGCTAATCAGCAGATTAATTAAAATAATCATTAGCTGCAGCTAATAGCAGCAGCTGGAAACAGAACAGTTGAGAACTGCACCTCGACCAACAGCTACATCCTGCTTTGACATCAGTGCATGAACAATAATAATGTCATGATATAATATATAGTGGTCAAACAGTCCCAGGAGACGTGTTTCTGCACTCAGTACTGTGAATACTTCCTTTGGTTTCCTCATGACGACAGAGACACTGCTGAGCTCTGTAAACTCTGTCAACTCAGACAGACAGAGGTTCTTTAAGGTGCAGTTTGTTGAAACCTGTGACCCAGACTGATATAATGGTGGGAGGCAGATTGTATTCAGGGTTTCAGAGACTCCAGGAAACCACCTGTTAATGACTGTGTTACTCTGATGGGTCAGGCTGTCTTCTGTAAAACCACGTCATGGAGAAGCAGAGACAGGACCGAGTCCTACGTATGTGATCAGATGGAGGGGTCCTCAGATAGATGGTAATACTACGAGCTGATGTGGTGCATAAACACAGTCCAACACAGGATGAAGGTGACTTTGTACAGTTTCTATTCAAGGTCAGTGAAGACAGAGCACAGGGATTTAGCTCATGTCCAAAGTGTGTGTGTGTCTATGAAGGTGAAACCTTCAGTCTGACTTTGGGGGATGGGGATCATCCAGATGTGGACTTGGACCTACTGTTGTCAGTGGAGCAGCAGTTTATGCTGAACAGAATCATACGGGACAAAGTCAATTGTGGACACATGGAAAAACAGACATAAGCAAAACTGAGACAGAGCTTCAGGAGTGAACCCATTGAATCATAGAAAATAATGTTACAGTGTTAGAGAAATAAAAGTTAATCATAATCTTTAAAGCCTGACCAATAAACACATGTCAGTTTAAGTTCAGAGCCAAATGATCTGGTGCATTTAAGGCTGCAAGAAATCAGAGTTGTAAAAATTTCTTCTGTAATTAGAAGGTTTAAATGTACATTAAAATAAACATGTCTCATATTTGAAGCAATTGTTATTTATTCAAAAACATTTAAAGGACAGAATTAAATAAATCAAATTATTTACTGACATGTTCTTACATTCTATTAATTAATCTGCAGCACTGATTCATTTTTGTTTTTCATCCACTGAATTTCCATTGCTCTCATTCAGGTTAAATAAAGTGAATTTCACACGAACAAAAGAGCAAATTATGAAAAATGGGTGGGAACCGCATCTAATGGCAAAGATCCCAGACAGAATTTAATACCTATTTAATAACAACGAGGAGACGAGTGTTTTAACTTGGAAATGAGCTCGACTGTAGCTAAAGGGTTAATCCCACAGTTTGTCTCAAAGAGCGCTCCTCTTCCTGGAACAAGGTCCAGCCTGATAACCCTGTCTTCAAGGTCAGTGAAGACAGAGAACAGAGACAAACTACAGGACATTCTGAGGGAGACATGGACAAACGTCTAACTGACAGTGACTAAAGTGGATGTTTTACTGTCACCAGCAGAGACCAAGACCAGAGATGGATTCTTAAGATATTCACGTCAAATCACACTGGATCCAAACACAGCACACACACGTCTGTTATTATCTGAGGGAAACAGAAAAGCAACAGTAATGAGTGAACAACAGTCTTATTCTAGTCACCCAGACAGATTCACTGAATGGTGGCAGGTCCTGAGTAGAGAGAGTCTGACTGGACGTTGTTACTGGGAGGTGGAGTGGACAGGG